CGGTTTCCAGTCAAAGGCATGTACCTGGGCCCTAACCGGTTTGGCTCAGCGGATAGAGCGTCGGCCTGCGGACTGAAGGGTCCCAGGCTCGATTCCAGTCAAAGGCATGTACCTTGGTTGCGGGCACATCCCCAGTAGGGGGTGTGCAGGAGGCAGCTGATCGATGTTTCTCTCTCATCGATGTTTCTAACTCTGTCTCCCTCTCTCCCTTCCTCTCTGTAAAAAAATCAATAAAATATTTTTTAAAAAAGGCATGTACCTGGGTTGCAGCCCTGGTAGGGGCACGTGTAGGAGGCAATGAATCCACCTGTCTCTCTCACCTTTACGTTAGTTTTTCTCTTTCTCTCCCCCTCCTTCCTCCCTTCCACTCCCTCTGGAAATCCCCAGGTGAGGGGTTCCCACTGCCTTCAAGGTAAAGCACAGACTCTCATGTACTTTACAAGGTCTCAGCTACTTTTCTGGCCTCATCTCCTACCATTCTACCCTCGCGGCCCCACTCTGAACATACTGACTTACTTGTTTTGCAACTATGTGGTCAACTTCTGCTCACCACCTCTGGTTTGCCTCGGATGTCACCTTGCCCTCGGGGAAAACATCCTTGCGTGTCCCCTGGGCGTTCACAGTTTTGTCTCACACCCTAGAGTTCTAGTTCCCTTTAGGCAGCACAGCCTCAGGGCTGAACCCACAGACAGCGGTATCTGGTGACCAGGATTCAGATTTCACGTTGGCCATTTCCTTGCTGTGTGACCTAGAGCAAGTGAATTCTGCTCCATCTTCTGTTTCATGGAGATGACATTTCATCAGCCTGTTGCGAGAATTAAATGAGCTAATGTAAGGTGGCTGACCATGAGAGTTAGGTATTACAATAGCATTGAAGACTAAAGCTTTGCACCCCATCCCGCCTCATCCTCAGAGTCCAGTCTGTGTGTGATTTTTCGTTTGAATGCACACGCTTGTTTCAGTATTACCTTGTAGTCTGTTTTTTACTTGACAAGCTAGTTAGGACAAACGGGGAGGCGATTAGGTACCTGAACTGGTCACGACTTTCCGTCTCCGAGCTCGTAGACTCCGAACGCCCCCAGGCGGCTCAAGCAGTCTGCAGCCCTAGCGGTGCGACTTAGGGCATACCATTCGAAAATTTAGGGGAAGAAAGTCCATTTCTAACCAAACGACCTGTTTACAAGGTCTCTCCTCTTTCGCTTCCTAACCTCAGATTCTATCAGACCCAATAGAGTAGGAAACAGGACTGAATTTATGACAGAGAGAGCAGGTTCAGCTTCCTTCCCCCCGCCTGATCGCGGCATTGGTACGTTCTCCTCAATTCCCTCTCAATAATGGTATGGTCCGACGAGGGGCGAACAGATAGGGATTCCGAAGTCCTCAGGGTTTGGAGGCTAGTCCTAGTACAGAATCCCCCCTCCTGCCGTGACGCGATGGTACCGCCCGCCGTCTTCTGATTGGCTGCCGAGGCCCCGCAGTCGGGCTCACCCCGCCGCTCTGCCCTCAGTACCGCTTCGGCCGCTGTGCCGCCTGGCTTTCGTATTCCTTGTTCTCGGCGGGCTGTGGGGGCTCGGCGCCGCGGCCGTTAGTCATGTCGGGTAGGTGATTCTTTCAGCGAGCAGCGGCAGCGGCGAGAAGGGGTTTTGCAGGGTTGGGCCATCTTCCCGCCCACCGGAGGGCCCCGAGGAAAAGCCTCCGGCCCTGAGGGAGGCTGGGGGGTGGGGGCGCGGACGCGGCGGCGGCCGCCGCCGCCATGTTGGACTGGAGGGACGCACGCTCCCAACGCTCCCTGTCTGCAGATCCCGGCGGGAGCGCTGCGGGCCCCTGTCTTTTGGCTCTGTCCTTGGAACCTGAGGCGACGTGCCGTTCCCGGGGGAGGGTGTGTGAGTCGGGGGGGGCGGAGGCCGTCTACGCCATCACAGGGGCGGGGGGAGCCCGTGAGTCAAGCATCAGCGTGAGAATCGGTGCTTCTGGTTCTCCGCGCCGCCTCGGATCTTTCTGCGAGGCCTCGGGCCAGCCGCCTCCCCGCCCCGTACCTCAGTTTACCCAATCACCAAGTGGAGCTGGGCCTCCTGACTCTCCCATTCATCAGGTGGGGGCCTTGGCGCCCTGGGAGCCCTTTCCAAAGGACGTTGCATTCCACGAAATCCTATTTGTCGTCATTCCCTCTGTCGTCACGAGTCGAATTCCAGTTGAGGGTGTTTGTAAGAGATTCAGCTTCCTTTTCACCCTTGTCTTTCTTCTCCCCTGTTCATTTTTTTTTTTTTTAAAGTCTCTTGCAAGACTTGAAAGAGAGCCTTTCCTATTCTCGACAGGCAAACATAGACCGAAGAAAGACAGCCTTCCACGAAGCACTTAAATTGATAGCAGCCTCCCCCCTGTTGTGTAGAAGAGAAAAAGAGGCCGTGGTCCCTTCAGGACCGCCAATCTAGGGCCTGCTAACCCAGAATATGAAGTCTGGAACATGGGTGTTCTCTTGGTGTAGCGGTCCCAGCTGACCCCGCAAGGTCCTCCTCCCTCGGTCATTGGGTGCCTCACAGGCTGCAGAGACCCAGTGACCCACTTGCTAGAAACCATCATGAGAGTAAGGTACCACCTTTCAGGTGCAAAAGCAGAACATTTTCTTAAAAGTCGAATAGCTGGGATGAAAATGACTGGTGACCATCTTTCCCATTTTTTTTTTTTTTTGTAAGGGAGAACCTGTTGGTATTCAAACCCGAAAACCACACCCCCGGTAATCCAGCGTTGCAGGAGGCTGGCAGTGTGGTAAAAAGGAAGCAGTAGGCTAAGAAGAAATGGTTGGAGAGGAAGATGATAAACATTCCTTAGATTAACATTGATGTCCGGAAGCCATACTATTTATCTTCTGGGGAAGGGGGCCTCTTTTTACCTCCTTTCAGTTTCTATGTAATCCTTGCTCAAACAAGAAATAAGTCCTTACCCTAAAGGTACCTAGACGTACCTAGACGCTGGTACGTCTTACCAGGTGCATAATTTGGGATGAAGTCTGGTAAAGCTCCACAGAAGTACATAGAAGCATACCCTCAGGAGGGTATGTGACCCACCCATCCATGGTTAAAAAGAAATATTCTCCAGTCCTCATGGAGAAATTCACCAGCTTTCAATGGAAACAGTGCTCATTAAAAACTTGGCCTGTCTGGATTTTTAACATAATTGTTGGTATAAAATGATGGCTTAATTTTATAGCAGTAGATAGCTTTTATGGAAAATCAAACTTTAGAGGTTTACCATTTGTAAAATCCAAGGTTTTCAGTGTGTCAAGCGTGTGAGCTGGTTTACATTAGTACTAATCTTCAAATTACCAAGACACCAGATTTTTGTCACTTTGTATTTTCAGTTTTTTTTTTTAACATCAAGATTGGTTTTCACATGTGAAAATGATTTTAAGATTGCTCACATCTAAATCAGTTAAGCTAGAATCTTTAAGTTCTACTTAGCATCACATACTTATAATGTGTATAAAATAATACTTTTGACTTTGTAAGAAATAGGGGTAATGCTTTTGACTGGTTCTTTGATGAATATTGTTAATAAACTTAATAGTAAACTCCCCTAAACAACTAATGGCATTAGGTTTAGTTAAGTCCTTTAAACATTCCAAACTACACGTATAAGTTTAATCTGTCAAGTTGACTCAACCACACCAGATGCCTGACAGTGTAAACTTAAAAAGCCTAACAAAATATAAGCACTTGTGTAACCAGTAAATCAAAATCATAAATATTGTCAGGCTCTCAGACATTCAAATACTCTTTACAAATGTGAATTATCTAACATCTTTCAAGTTAAAATTACAAATCTAATATCAGTTATACATATATTAAAAATTAAAGGTCAAGTTACTTCTCATTTTGGCAATATAGCAGACCAAATAACTTGAAAATCCTCTATCTATAAACACCTAAAAGTGTAAGAACTGACAAAAAAGGGGCACAGTTCCCCCAGCTACCAGAAGCGAAGTAAAAACTATTATGCTAACTTGGTGGTTGCCCTGGAGAGGAGTGTATGGATCTCATCATTTAGAAATGATTTCATTGCCCAAGTAATTAAAACTGGACAGGAGATGAAGTTTTGAGACCATTAGAGCTAGGTAATGGGAACTAAGACTCTTACATAAAACTTGGCTGTTTGAAGGACTGTACCTTTGGTGAAAGAATGAACTGGATAAAACTTGTACCTACCAGCATAAGAGATAACAAGAATGCCTGGACCCGAGTGAAAAAGTTCTGAGAATTCGTAAACTGGAACCTGTGCTTCATACAATTTGGATGTGTATTTAGGCTAGTTATGGGCCCAAGAACCTTAAGGAAATCAAATAAAAAGTGGTTCTGGGTTGGTAATAACCTTGGGGCTCCTGGTACAGTGGAACCTCAGTTCTCAAACTTAATTCATTCTGGAAGGCTGTTCGAGAAGTGATTTGTTCGAGAACCAAATCATTTTTTCCCCTTTAGAAATAGGTAATGCAAATTGAATTAATTAGTTCCAGGTGCCGAAATGATTCCCTGTTTTAACCTTCCTTATATATTAGTACATGTCTATTGTACTGTTTAAACTATAAACACTTTAAAAACAAAAAGAACATCAAATGTAAATGAAAATTTAACAAAAAGGAAAGAAATGTACAGTAAAATAATGAAAAATTGCCTGACCAGTGTGGCTCAGTTGTTGAGCATCAGTCGACCTATGAATCAGGAGGTCATGGTTTGATTCCGGGTCCAGGCACATGCCAAGGTTGTGGGCTCAATCCCCAGTGTGGGGTGTGCACGAGGCAGCTGATCAAGGATTCTCTCTCATCGTTGATGTTTATTTCTCTCCCTCTCCCCTCCTCTCTGAAATCAATAAAGACATAAAAAATAAAAAGTTTATTATAAGCAGCAACAAAAGCAAAAAAACATGAAAATATTCACAGCAAAATATTCTGAGATTTCAGCAGTGGTAAACTGACTCATTTCCGCATTCTCTCCTTCCTTTGTCAGCTGAGAGATGCGGGACTGATTGTACAGGTATCAGCATGAAAGAGTTGTCAGCTGAGGAGTGAATTGTTCAAGATGGGAGACATTCAAGAAACGAGGTTCCACTCCACTCTAATGTAAATTGAATTCGTTCCGACTCCCAAATGACTCCCTGTTTAGCCTTATATACTGTACATGTCTAATGAATGTACTCTTTAATCTATAAATACTTTATTTTTTAATCCTCATCTGAGGATTTTTTCCATTGCTTTTCAGGGAGAGTAGAAAGGAGAAAGGGAGGGGGTGGCGAGAGAAACATCCATGTGCCTTCTTGGGGCAGGGTGTGAACCTGCAGCTGAGGTATGCTCTAACAACTGAGCACAGTGGCCAAGCAACTTTTTTTCTTTCTTTTTTTATTGATTTCAGAGAGGAAGGGATAGGGAGAGAGATAGAAACATCAATGATGAGAGAGAATCCTTGATTGGCTGCCTCTCGCATGCCCCACACTGGGGATCCAGCCTACAACCCGCCCTGGCTGGGAATCGAATGGTGACCTCTTGGTCCATAGATAGATGCTCAACCATTGAACCACACTGGCTGGGCCTTTTTTCTTAAATTTACCGAATCACCCCCTACCAGCCTTAAAAGGAATCACTTTTAATACTCATTCTAGGGGTGTCTCAGGTCAGCATGCAGCATCTTTGCTGTTCCACATATTGCTGCCTCTGAAATGCTGTCACTGGCTGGCTAACTGCTTTTCTTTTATCCAAGGCAACACAATAGTTTTTCTACCTTTTCAATTGCCTGTGATCATTGTTTCTTTCACAACCTTAGTAACATTGGCACTCTTTTTAAAAAAAATGAATAAATTTTTATTGATTTCAGAGAGGAAGAGAGAGGGAGAGAGATAGAAACATCAATGATGAGAATCACTGATAGTCTGCCTTCAGCATGTCCCCTAATGGGGACTGAGCCCTCAACCCTGGGCATGTGCCTTAACTGGGAAATGAATTGTGAACTCCTGGTTTATAGATTGATGCTTAACCACTGAGCCACACCAACTGGGCAGCATTAGCACTCTTGATGACTTCTTTATGTTTTATGATTTTCCCAGCAACAAAAGCATTATCTCCTTTGTTGTCGGAGAGCTGCTTTTTGTCATGCTGAGGTATCAGTATGAAAGGGTTGACTAGTCGAGAAAACAAAATTTGGTTCCACATTTCTTCTGTGAACAATTTGGTTGAGAACTGAATTGTTTGAGATGAGAGATGTCCCAGAAATGAGGTTTGACTGTAGAAACAAATGAAAAACCTTTCCTGGAGGAAATTTCACACCCTAGGTCACAAGACATCTTATAGAAAAAACATGCCTTAGAAAAGATAAGTTCACAATAAGAAAATTGCAGAACTCTAGGATAAACAATTCACTAAAATGAGTGTTAGTGACAAATGGGATTAGAACCCCTAATAGGTAATCTGAAAGTGAATATTATATGTTTAAAATTATTAAAAACCTAAAAGAAGGAATCAACCCTAAGACCGAGATACTATGAAAAAACACATGTAGATTTGAAAAAGAACCAAGTACAACTTCTAGAAATAGAAAAAAAGAATAAATTGAATTGTAGATAGACCTAGTAGAAGAAATAGTGAAGGGGAAGATGTGATATAATTTACCCAGAATTCAATTCAGGAAGGATATAGAGATGAAAAATGAAAGATTAAGAACCATGTCAAGTAGATTGAGGAGTCCTGTCATACATTGAATAGAAATTTGAGGAGAAAATGGAAGAATTAAAAGATGGTTGATAATTTTACAAAACTGATGATTTTTTAAAAATTAGGTAATGGTTTCAAACAAAAGTCATAGCTAGGTACACATGTAAAACTGCAGATTGAAATACCAATAACAAACCTACTAGAGGGAATAGGAAACTGGTAAGATTGAGAGACTTAAAAGTTTAAGCTGGAAAATACTGAAGTCCTTGGAATTTAGAGGAAAAATAACCATTGATTTTGAAATTTTTACCAAAATAAGACTAAGACTGCCACTTTCATATCTTGGCTTACAGAACTAATAAAATGTGTTAAATCTGGAATGGAGGAGTAGAATGCAAAGTAAATAATGTGGTGGAAGCAAACAGTAAACAAAAAGCAAATTATTGAAGATGAAAATGATTACATTTAAAGATTTTAAGAACGTGGCAGCAAAAGGATGGGGAAAAAGTGGAGCAAAATAATAGGTGAAGGCTGATTGGCATGTTATTAAGATTCTTATATTCTTGGCATGTTATTAAGATTCTTATATTCTAATGGAGGTTGAAGATCATTTTGAACTTTGCCAAGAATACATGTTAAAATTGAACATAATTATGAATGGTGACTTATTAAAACAAATTGAATGTATCACTTATAAAGTAGTAAAAGGAAAATATAAACATTCAATAGAAGGCAGGGAAGGAGTTTAAAAGGAATAAAAACACCAACCCTGGTAAGTAGAAAGTCCAATATTGGTAGAAATAAGAAAAGTAACAATAGTAAAAGTACAGAAACAATTTAAAGACAAAGATTTTCACATTGGAATAAAATGATCTAAATGTGCTGTTCAGAAATATGCCTAAAATATAAGAAATATTGAAAGTATAGAGATTGAAAAAGATTCAGCAGGAAAAAAACAAAAGGGAGATTATGTTACCAGCAGAATAATGTGTGGACATTTTAAATGATAGTTTTTATGTAATGAATGTTAAAAGGAAATTCACCAGGAAGATATAAAACGATACTTTTATGTGCCTAACATTAATTATAGCCTCAAAATATGAAAGCCAAAAAAAATGATAGTCAAATAGTTTTTAAACCTGCCTCTCTGTAATTAATAGGTTGGGCAGACCAAACATTAGTAAGAATATGAATGATAGAACTAATAAGCGTCATCTTATAGACTTGGGGAATTCATTTAACAGAAATACACAGTTCTTTTTAAGCACATAGGGATATTTATGCAAGTAAAGTACTTTTTTTTTCAAGGAGGAAAAGCAACAAAAGAGCAAATCCTAACAAATACTAGGAATAATATAGAAAATGCCTTTTCTTACTGCACTGGAATATAATTAGAAGACAAAAACAAAGAGAATCAAACCCTATACACTTGGAAGTAAAAGCACTTATAAATAATTCATGGGTCCAGACACAAGGCCCAGGTGTCTACTTGTAATGAGCAGTTGTTTGAAATGCCCTAAATAATTATAAACTGATTTTCTCTGATGAATATAAACATTTGTATCAGACTCAAGTATTTATACTAAGGGTCAGACTTATTGGTCAATATGTTTATTTTTATATCTTGTGCAGTTTTAAAGTCAGCTAGCTGAAGACAGTTTCACAGGGCTGAAGTGACTGGATTACAGTTAAGGACTCAATACTAGATTTGAGCTAGGAACACATGACCTATGTGTTGTGCACTTCCATAATTTTGCCTGAATCAAAGGGATATACAGTGGGGCCTTGACTTACGAGTTTAATTCGTTCCGTGACGGAACTCATAACTTAAAGTGAACGAGGGAGACACGTGATGCTGGGCTGATGTTGTGGCCTTCACTGTGACGTTCGCTGCGCCAGCTAGTGGTGGGGTATCTGAAGCTGGCTCGTAACCCGAAAAAAATCGGCCGAGAGACGGCTCGTATCTCAAAAAACTCGTTAGTTGGGACACTCGTAAGTCAAGGCCCCACTGTATACTGAGATCCTAGACTCCACTCTTGTCACAGAAATCACATTCATACTTTTGGATATAATTTGACCATCATGCATCCCTAAAGTATCTTAAATTTTATTCCCATTACACCTATCCTGCCCCCCAATAATTCTCTTCCGTTTCTTATTTGATTAAAGCTAACTTTGCCCCTCATTTGATAGATGCATATAATCGCTATGGTCCAGTTAGAGTCTTTATCCTTTTCATGTTTTTCTTACTTGCTTAGCTATAAATTTAGTCACTTACTACCATGGGCATGGCAGTGATGCAGTTTTTTCTTTTTTATCTCAAGTAGCTTTATGTCTTTCACATTCATAGGAGTAGTTTGTGTCAGGATTGCATTCAATATTCTTATAATTAAGGCTTAAAAAATAATTTCAGTCTGATTGGAAAACTTAGGAAAGAGCCAAATTTGATGTCACCCACTTAGTAACTGTAGAGGCCCATGCATGAAATTTGTGCAAGAGTAGGCCTTCCTTCCCCTGGCTGCTGGCACCGCCTTCCCTCCGGCACCTGGAACCTGGAACCTGGGCTTCCCTCCAGCTGCCAGCAGGGACCTGGGCTTCCCCTGCAGCCCTGGCTTCGTCTGGAAGGTTGTCCGGAAGGACATCCGGAAGGATGTCTGGTCTAATTAGCATATTACACTTTTATTGTATAATAATGTTTTCATACTGTAACTTTATGTGAGTTGAATGAAAAAGTCACTGATTTAATTTTTGGTTGGTTTTCAGAACTGTCCAACAAATGGTTGTGTTTCAAATTGGGTGAGGTTGGGTCTAATGATCAGCAGTTAGTGACTAAGTGTCATTTTTTGCTTGAGAGTATTTCATATAATACTCTTAAAACATTCATATTTTAATTATAGTTTACATTCAGCATCCTTTTGTATTAGTTTCTGGTGTACAGTATAGTGGTTAGATATCATATAGTATATTGCTCTTATTCATCATTAATAAACATAGGTCATTCATTTGACTCTGAGTAGGAGCCTGAAGGAGAGAGCCTATTAAAAAGTTTTTGATAAAGCATACATTTTGAAGTACTGAGAAAATATTTTTCTTTTTTTGACATATATTACTCAATTCATGCCTTTCTTGGTAGATTTTATTGCCAAAAAGAAGCTTGAAGTAGGTGTTGCTGAGTTGCTATATCAATTGGCTAAGACCTTGAAAGCTTGGTAAAGTTATATTTAAACAACTAAGAGCTGCTTTTATCAAGTCTTCACAGATGTTTTTGTTGCTGCTGACAGCCAAGGCAATCCAGTACAAGGGGATGGTAAAGATGTTAGGCTGAGAAGGATATGGAAGTAAATGTAATCCTGGCATTTATCTTGTCAGAGTGTCTTCCCCCTTTTTGGTCCTGGTTAGTTTTAAGATGTCTTTTTGTATATAAAGGTAATATAGCTTGAGCTTTTGAGTTTTTGTTAAAAGGATGGATTTTTCACTGATCATTTCACATTTGATCACTTGGCCCTTGTGACCATTGGGACACGTTTGTGTAGTAGTTGTTTTCAAAGATATAGGTACTATAAACAGCAAATATGTACAGATTTCTCCTTGCACAATATTTTTAATTTTGTTTTTTCTTTCTGTAGTTTCTTTATATGACATTTTCTTATCACATTATTCTATAAGGTCTAAAACCAGCCTTTGAGGGAAGCATAATTTAAAATCAGATTTAAAATTCTTTTTATGTGTTTTAGATTCTGGAAGTTACGGTCAGTCTGGGGGTGAGCAGCAAAGGTAAAGTATACATACGTTTTAATACCATGAAAGAGTAGAACTGAAAAAAAGATGAATTTAGTCAGGCCTTCCCACTTGAGATTTGGTATTTGGATGTCTTAAGAGAGTTAAATATTAGCTCTGCAAGGGAAAAGAGTCAGCCTTTGTAAATAGGTGCTGTGAAACATTTCCTCCCTTTTTGAAAGACTTTGAATCAGTGAATATAGATGCCTCCTGGAGATTAAAACAAACCTTACAGGTATTGTAAAGATTGTTTTCTTTGGAAAATTTAAAAAAGAAACAATTATTAAAAGGATTTAAGCAATGAACTATAATAGGTTCTTAGAAAAAGCATTTCATATTTTTATTGTATGTAATATGTTCATTTGGAACAGATCTTCTAGAAGCACTATAATAGAAATGGTTAGCATCTTTTAAAGACATCATTCTCACAATAAAAAGTATATTTTTATGTGAATGTTTACATGTAGTAGAGTTCTCATGCTTACTAGAAATACAGCCTTCAACTTATACTATAAATGTTTTGTAGTTCACTGTGAGATACTCAGGATAGCATCTCAGATATCGGTTCATGAAAACTGATTTAATTTTTTATTCTCATAGGATAGTGCTAATCTCATAGTAGGCAGCTAGCAAATGTTTATTCAATGAAATAGATTTCTCAAACTTAAATTTTGTTAGCACTTGAAAGCTCTAAAATGGTAAGATTTTTTGTAAATGTTTTAGTTTTCTTTGGCATATAGTTAGAAAGTTTGTTTTTGACTTGTTAGAACTTGTTAGGCAAAATTAAAGACACTTCTTCAAATCTGAGGAAGTTACATTTATTCAGTCAAATTGTGTTCCAGGCTGTGTTTTGACACTGGGGATACAAAATAATCTTATTTTATGATAATATTCTGAAGATACACATAATTCTAATTACCACGGCACGAAAATTAAACTTTTAGTGCTGCCCTGTGCCTTTTCTAGGAAATGAAAGGCAGATTTAAGGCAAATAGTAGGAAGAAATTAATCTGTCAAAACATAATAAATTGAATAAAGCACTGACAGTCATCATTTTTCTCTGTCAGATATTTGTTATGGGTTTTGCTGCCTTATTGTCCCTCCTTCCCCACCTTCCAAGCATAATTCTCTGGTGAAGAGATTTTCCAGCTCTGGTGAAGTTTTGTTTAATTGTGGGGGATTATCAAAGGAAAACTTTTGGTGTTTGTTTGGCATCCAAAAGGTCTGGGAATGACTTCATTTATGTCTTTAGTAGTCTCTGATCATCACCTTTCAATTTACACTCAAGAGACGGGCAGATTGACAGTTTCTCAGAAAAGAAGCTTATTTTTGAAAATGAGGATAGGGTTTTTCAAGCTGTTAAATTTGCTAGTGCCAATGTTAGCAAATTTCTTTCAAGTAGTACATTCTTTCTTTTTCTTTTTCTTTTTACAGTTATTCTTCCTATGGAAATCAAGGCAGTCAAGGTTATGGACAAGCACCACAAGTAGGTTAAAATACAAATTGTGTTCTTTATAAATAGTTATTTTTATCTTAAGTAGGTGACGAAACTTGTATTTACCTAAATTTCAGAGCTATTCTGGTTATGGGCAAACTACTGATTCCTCATATGGACAGAACTATGGCGGCTACTCCAATTATGGACAAAGCCAATCAGGTTGGACTGGTTTGTTAAATTTGCTACTTTACAAATTAAAAAAATCAGAACCTTTACTAAGTGGTATATCCATCCAATCTTTAGGTTACTCACAATCCTACGGTGGTTATGAGAATCAAAAACAGAGCTCATATGGCCAGCAATCTTATAATAACCAGGGACAGCAAAACACGGAATCATCAGGAGGGTAAGGAAACAGTAAAAGTACTGAGATTGTGTTGGGCAGTGGAAATAATACTTTGCGTATTAAACAGGTTTCAGCAATATACTCCTAACTAAACATGTTTTTCAGAAATGTTTTGATGGAGTGTGAATTTCACAGTGTTATTGTTATGAAGAGTGTGGAAATTGTCAGCATTATCATTTAATACTTATGATGTGTTATTTGTAAAATGATTATTTAGCTGTAAATGAATGCACATGAAAGAAAAACTTGACCTCTCCTTTATGCCTGAGATTAAATAAAAACTTACCTATAAAAGACTTTTCAATGCTTACTTTTATTTCTATTTTATTTTTTAACTATTTTTAATGTATCATTTTTTGAGGGACAAAAATATTTTAAAAAGTGCCAAGACCTGTTTAGATACCCTAAAATATATTTTATTAATGTAAGTATGTGAATATTTGCCAACAAGTTTATTGATTTTATAGTTGTGGTTTTTTAAAAATATGTTTTTATTGTTTTTCGGGGAGAGAGAGAAACATTGATTGGCTGTCTTCTGCATGCTCCCTACTGGGGATCAAGCTTGAAATCTGGGTATATGCCCTGACTGGAAATTGAACCTGAGACCTCTCAGTACATGGGGTGATGATGCTCAACCAACTGAGCCATACCAGTCAGAGCTTATTGTTTTTTTTTTTTAACTTTCAGATTTGAGGAGTCTGTACTTATTATTAATTTTAATAATAGTGATTTGCTTTTTTCTATTGTTCTTTACATTTTGTGAAATGCTTTTGTATTCTCTAATTTGATCCTTGAACACCACTATAAGATAGTACCAGTAATTATCTCCATTTTATAAAATTAAAGAAAAGCTGTTAAGATCACATAGTTTGTCAGGTTATACAGCTAAAAAAATGAAGGAAAAACTAAAGTCACTAGTATTTTCTCTTGCAGCAAAGAAAATTATTCTAAGTGAAATTCAAATAGAGGCAATGGGGAAAGATTTGTGAGGCCAGACTATCAGTTTAATGAGAGTGCTTTGAAAAGTAGAGAGAGAGTACAAATGTAGGGGCTAATATCCAGAAAGCATGCTACATTGGAAGGAGGAACTCTTCAAGCCCTACTAGTAAGTTTTAAACTTAAGAAGAACCCTTTTATAAAGATACATTTTTAGAAGTGTCACATGTAAATGTAGACCAAAGAGAAATGTTAGATTTCGGTTCACAGCCAATTAAAAATATTTTAAAAATTGATTTTAGAGGAAGGGAGAGAGAGAAACATTGATTTGTTGTTCCACTTATTTATGTATTTACTAGAGGCCCAATGTACAAAATGCATGCAAGGAGCTCGGCCCTTGCAGCCGTGGCTTCATCAGGAAGCTCCTCCTTCAGGACCGGTCGTTCTGCTGTTCAGTCTAATTAGCATATTCGCTCTTTATTGTGTAGGATTAGTTGCTTCTTGTATGCACACTGACTAGAGATCAAACGCAACTATTTAAAAAGTGAAGTGCTAGGGTTCTGACCATTGATATGATATGTTTTGAGTAGGAAGTTGGGAAACATACTGGTTGTTCTGATCATCGGATTCAGAATAAGATGTGGCTATTAACTTAAAGATCTTTTAAAAAAGTGAATATTAGAACTCAAATCCAATTAAGTGTTCCTTTCAACATCCCCATCCTAAGGCAGGTAATTAATAGGCATATTGCAAAGAACATACTTAGAATTTCCTTTTTGAATTGCCAGAGATAATAAGAAAGCAATGTTATTATTTGGTAGTTAGACTTTTCAGATAAAAAAAAGCATCACAAAGCGAATTCCCTTTTTTCACTCAGCAGACTATAAATACCTAAATGCATACCTGTTTTCTAAAATATATTATCATTGAAGATATTTAAAAGAATGTACTCTTAAGATGAAGAAGAATGTGATGATGAGTAAGTTGGGTTTAGTGCAGTTTTTTTCTTGTCTATAAAACCATTTAACCCCCCCTGTACACAATTAATTCCTTTTAAAGAAAAAATTTGAAATGTAAGCTGTGTAAGATTTATTTTTAAGCTGTGCAGTGTCTCTTTTTCTATAGTTAACACACTACCAAATGTCTTTAGATATCCCTGTCCTACGGATATTTTCAATAGCCACTAACTTTCCTGGTATAGTATGGGAATTGTATATTCGTATGGCAATTTAAAGCAGGTTCTTGTTGGTGCACAGCACGTATATAGGGATGGTAGGTTTTTCATCTTCAGTTGTCTGATGCAGCTTATACGAAATAATTGTTCTGTTACTGACTATACCACTCTCATTGCAAAAAATGTTGCAGCTGTTTTATTGACATTCTGAATGCTTCTAAGTAAATATACATTTTTAAAATAAAATAAAGAGAATGTACTGTAGGTTCTAAAGATAATTATAAAAAGCAGTCCTGCCCTGCCAGTGTGGCTCAGTGGTTGAGTGTCAGCCTGTGAACCAGGAGGTCACGGTTCCATTCCCAGTTAGGGCACATGCTCAGGTTGCTGGCTTGATCCCGAGTAGGCGGTGTGCAGGAAGCAGCTGATCAGTGATTCTCTCTTATCATTAATGTTTCTCTCTCTCTCTCTCTCTCTCTTTCTTTCTCTCTCTCCCCCCTCCCCTTCCTCTTTGAAATTAAAAAAAAAAAAAAGTAGTCCTTAAAACATTATGAGATATTGCCTAACTGATTTGGCTCAGTGGATAGAGCGTCGGCCTGCGGACTGAGGGGTCCTGGGTTCGATTCCAGTCAAGGGCATGTACCTTGGTTGTGGGCACATCCCCAGTGGGGGGTGTGCAGGAGGCAGCTGATGGATGTTTCTCTCTCATCGATGTTTCTAACTCTCTATTCCTCTCCCTTCCTCTCTGTAAAAAATCAATAAAATATATATTTTTTAAAAAGATATTTTACATTAAAAAAACCATTATGAGATTAAAATTAGGTGATATAGAGCCTTTCAGTATAATTATTAAAAGGACTCAGTACTTGTGGCATGTGTGTTAAAGAATTGACACTACTGTACTTTGTGGCACCTTTAATTTTTTAATTTAAGGAGATGTAAAAATCATATTGATTTTTTTGCTTCACTGTTTTCAAAGGTGCATATGGTTTTCTCATAATGTGGCACCTCTTCAAGGATAGTTAAATTGTTGTTTGAAGGTCATTCTATTGGTGATAAAGGAGACTTTATAGATAAAAGAACTAAATGATTTTCACCACAAAAAAGTAGTAAATATGGGTCAGGTCTAGCTAGTCAGGCCTTTTATGTCAGTCTCAGTCGACTTGCTACAGTAAGCATAATCCTTCTATAAAAACTCTCAAGTTCTTGATTTCTGTTTAGCCAAAGTGGAAGAGCGCCTTCATATGACCAGTCAAACTATGGTCAACAAGATTCGTATGGCCAGCAGTCAGGCTATGATCATCAAGGTTCATATGATGAGCAGTCAAATTATGACCAGCAGCATGATTCCTATAATCAAAACCAGCAGTCCTACCATTCACAAAGGGAAAATTACAGCCACCACACACAAGGTAAGATATACTAACCTCTTATTTTTTTCTTTACTTACATATTGAGTTTTGGATTAAAAGACCCAAATAGGAGCCCTAGCCAGTGTGGCTCAGTTGGTTGGAGCATCGTCCCATACACCAAATGGTTGTTGGGTTCAATTCCGGGTCAGGGCACATACCTGGGTTGTAGATTCATTCCCCAGTTGGGTTTTGTATGGAAGGCATCCAGTCGATGTTTTTCTATCGTGTTGATGTCTCAATCTCTCTCCCTCTCCCTCTCCCTCTCTCCCTCTCCCTCTCCCTCTCCCTCTCCCTCTCCCTCTCTCTCTCTCTCTCTCTCTCTCTCTCTCTTTCTCTTTCTCTTTCTCTTTCTCTTTCTCTTTCTCTTTCTCTTTCTCTTTCTCTTTCTCTTTCTCTTTCTCTTTCTCTTTCTCTTTCTCTTTCTCTTTCATCAGTAAGCATGTCCTCAGGTGAGGATTTAAAAAAAAAAAACAACACCCACAAAACCCAAATAGGATTTCAACTGTAAAAATTTGGAGTGACTCTGACCATATGTTCTCTCTCATGGCTATCAAAATTAGTTTAGATTCCTATTTCTGAGCTTCTTGGAGATTCCCAAATGGTCACATGACTTTTGGATTGCTGATACATTAATTTCCTTTTTGTCTCAGACAACTTTGATCATTTGGCAAATGCTGCTGCTATCAGTTCTTTTGGAAGTGGTAGTATACTTGATTTGGGGAAATTATGATTCTACATTAGCTTTCTCTGACCTCATATTAAAAGGACCAGTCATTCCTTCTTCTTCTTTTCTTTTTTTTTTTTTTTTTAAATATATTTTATTGATTTTTTACAGAGAGGAAGGGAGAGAGATAGAGAGTCAGAAACATCGATGAGAGAGAAACATCGATCAGCTGCCTCTTGCACATCTCCCACTGGGGATGTGCCCGCAACCCAGGCACATGCCCTCGACCGGAATCGAACCCGGGACCCTTCAGTCCGCAGGCCGACGCTCTATCCACTGAGCCAAACCGGTTTTGGCCCTTCTTCTTCTTTTCTGATAGCACATTATATATACAACTGATAGCTAGGAATCTGTCCTTGCCAAGAAAAGGCAAAAGTTCAGTTTTAATTTATACGTGGAGAGTTAAACTTTTAAAATATTTTTTAAATTGATTTTTAGAGAGAGAGGAAGGGATAGGGAGAGAGAGATAGAAACATGGATGTGAGAGAAACATCCATTGGCTGCCTTCTGCATGCTATGTACACACTGGGGATCCAGCCCGCAACCTGGACATGTGCCCTGACTGGGAGTCGAACCAGCAACCTCTTGGTGCATGGGTTGATGCTCCATCACTGAGCCACACTGGCTGGGCACACTGAATATCTTTTTCAGTGAACATATGCATTGAATATCTTCTTCAGAGAATGTGTGCACTGAATATCCCTCAGTTTGAAAATCCAGTTATTTCTTGTCCATGCTTAATTTGCATTTAAGTATTTTTGAGGTGAAGAAAGTAATAACTTTTCAGATTTGGGTTATGCTTTTCATCTAATTTATTAGGGTTTTGTACCTAATGTTGTACTTTAACTCAAACTATTCTACATCACCATCACCATTTTGCTGTCTGACTTTGTTTGACACAAATATAATTCCTGAGCACATTTAATTCCAGATGGTTTTATGATGACTTGCATTTGAGTTCTGTGCACATATGCCATTTTCCAAAGGACATAATAGTGTGACCTAAAGAGCCATTTAAGATTGTTGTGGGAAGTCTGTGTCAGAAATCAGAATAGTTATTTATTTATGTACATATTTTCTTTTTTATAGATGACCGTCGTGATGTGAGTAGGTATGGAGAAGATAATAGAGGATATGGCGGGTCACAGGGAGGAGGTAGAGGGCGTGGGGGATATGACAAGGATGGAAGAGGTCCTATGACAGGATCAAGGTAAGTTTTCAGGTATAAATGTCTACATTTCTTTTCTCTTTCTTTTTTAATTTTAATTTTGGTTGTTACTTAGCTGGTTTAATTCCAGCATCTACTGTAATTAAGAGGCTTTAAGGAGGTTATGTTGTAGAGAAGAGGGCAAAAATTCAAAATTTATTTTCAGTCTTAAGATGTTGCATAAATTACCTTAGAATAGGTTTATGTTAGCAGTTAGTTTATATGGTGTATATTAAACACCAGTGGATGAAAGTCCCCTACTAGGGAGACCTAACTATGTTTTTCCTGCCAGAGCTTTAGAACCTAAATGTTAAAAGATGGCTCTGAGAAATCCAAGCATTTTGTTTGTAAAAAAATAAAAGGTAAGTTAATTGTAGATTGGAGGGCAGAGGGGCTTTTCCTTAATCTTGAATCCCCTTGGGAAGGGAAAATATTAGGAGGCAATGGCAGAGTATAAAAATGAGGTTGGTAAGGAGAGATTTAATGGAACCAAACCATTTTGTTCCTCTTCTTTAGTAAATAAATATTGAAATAATAAGTGCAAAATCATATACCGTTGTGTATTTTGTCTAGATTAAAACTGTGGAAAAGGAATGACTTTGTAAATCAGCTTTTCTATCTCCATTGCCAGTATTATCAGGCTTGCTATTTACTATGGCATATGTTATGAAAGCTGGTTTTAAAATTGCATTTAAGTTATCTGTAAATTTAGCACTTTGACCATAAAAACAATAATGAAAAAGTAGTTGTCGTTTATTGTCCTCAGATGAGGTGTGTAGGTTATAAATTTGTGTGTAAAATACACAGGCTTAAAAGATCATTTATATTCCTTGGGAATTGAAATTGTCAGTGGCTTGTTAACTGACAATAATAATGTATCAGTACTAGTTTACTCTTGTCCTTGTGGGACTGAGCCGGTTGTCTGCCCTGCAGTGACCTGAGAAACACAGCCAGTTATGCATAGCATTGTTACTTCTTCAAGTGAACCAGGAATTTGATCTCACTGACAAAATAAGAATCTAAACATAATTGATAAACTTTTTATAAGACTTGAACATTAAAAGCCTTTTTATTGATAGCCAAGATCAAATTACTAAAGTAAAACAAGTATATTGTATGCCTCTTCATTGTCAAAGAGAGCAGTCAGCCATCATTTGTATATAAATGAACAATGTAAAGTGACACAGGTGCTTACCTAATAGCCTCCCTCTTACCTTAAAAACAGAATTCCAAACAAGATAACCAACAGGCATATTTTCCAATTACTATGTTTTGGATAATTGTCTGCCTTGGAATGATCTATATTTTATAGTATAGTAGTACATCACAGGTTTAATTTTCTTCATAAGGAAGCTATAATTATGTCTGAATGATAGAAGAAAAGTCTTTATATAATTTCATCTTGGACTCATTTAAGAATCAGAGCTGAAAGGACTTTGAATGATCCTCCTGATAAAGGAGTGAAGATCCATACCATAACCAAGCCCCATTTTAAAACACTTTATAACCTATTTGGCAACGTATTTCAGTATAAGTTTTAGTTCGTATGCTGAATCAGATATTATGTTCTTGATTTTCATATCTTTTTATTTAGTCTTAGAACCTCTTTAAATGAAATCTTATGCAGGAGCCTACTATATATTAATTAGGTCAAAATGCCAATCTGGTTCATGTCAGGGTAGGAATGGGGGAGGGATCTTGCCCAATATCTGTCTACTAGAGGCAACCCTTCAGCCAATAAATAGAAACCCATATGGAATGTGATAATTATTCTCTGTATTGGGTTGGCAAACTTTTTATGTGAAAGGCCACATAATAATTTAGATTTTGCAGGCCATACAGTTTCTCTTACAGCTATTCAATTCTACCCTTGTAGCATCAAAGCAGCCTTAGACAGTATATAAATGAATAAACATGATTGTGTTCCAATAAAACTTCATTTATGGGAAACTGAAATTTGAAGTTCATATACTTTCATTGTGTCACAGTATCTTGCTCAAAGATGTGCTAAAAACAAAGCTCATTTGTAGGAGTATTTTGAAATCAAATAAAAATGCTCAGTTTTAGGATTTTTTTTTACACATGGTTTTACATGTAAGTACCAAAATACCTAAACATTTGTTGTTGGTCTTCATTAATGCTTGCATTTGTGTTTCTGTTCATCTTACTTAAAAATATCAAAGTTAAAAATATGATCCTTTTGGGGCTGTGTGAAGGATATCTTGTATTAGTTGGGTTTATATTTGAAGAACCGGGTAAGGGTGGGATGTGGTAAAGGATGGGATGCTCGTAGACTCAGGTTGTATGATTGCTTGACTGGAGGAAGAATTCAGACAAAAAGGAAACTGTCAGTTTCCCATATATGCAAGAGAAATTGTGAAAGTTATAAAGATTATAGGGAACAGTATTTTGCTTTGAAAAAGCAGTTTGCAGCAAAAAGGATTGAATTTCTAATTGTCATCTAAAATAGATCACTGACATCTTAGTGGATTCGAAGTTTAAGGCAATAAATTCTCTGTTTTTAACTTCAGGGTTGTGATGAACGCATTACAAAAATGCCAGAACTTTATAGATAACAGTTTTTCATTAGTATGTCATCAAGTTAAAATAACCATTTCAGGCTTTAATATCTGAGGCCTAAAATAAGTTGTTTTGAATTTTCAGTGTCTTCTCACAAAAGTTTGTGGTGAGCTCTCTTAAAAATGTACATATGTTCTGGTGATTGTCTAGAACAGTGTTGTTCAATAGAAATATAATGTGTGTCACAAATGTAAGCCACATATGTAATTTTAAATTTCTTAGTAGTCAAAAAAAGGTGAAATAAATAAATAATAAGTTTTATTTAATGTATCCAAAATACTTAATCAGTATAAAAAATAGTGTATATTCTTTTTTGCATACTAAGACTTTGAAATCCATTTTGTGTTTTACATTTAGACTACCAATTTAGACTATCCCACATTTCAAATGGTCAACAGCTACGTATGACTAGGGAATAATGTATTGGACAGTGCAACTCTACAGTATAGATTCTTGATAAATGCTGAATCTAGAAAGCTTTTTTAAAAAAATATATTTTATTGATTTTTTTACAGAGAGGAAGGGAGAGGGATAGAGAGTTAGAAACATCAATGAGAGAGAAACATCGATCAGCTGCCTCCTGCACACTCCCCACTGGGGATGTGCCCACAACCAAGGTACATGCCCTTGACCGGAATCGAACCCGGGATCCTTGAGTCCAAAGGCCGATGCTCTATCCACTGAGCCAAACCGGTTAGGGCTAGAAAGCTTTTTTAAACACACATATAAGACATGGGAGGAGATGAAACAAATATGGCTACTGTTGAGAATGCTATTTACATCCGTTGAGTCATTTATATTTGGAATTAATGTTTGAGTTCTTTGTAGCTCAGATATTATATTTTGGCTTTACTAGTATGAAAACTCAAGCATAGTATAGTTTGTTTGTTTTTAAATTAATCTTTTTCCAGTCTTAGCCAAATCCCTTTTTCTCTCTTGATACTGAATTTTCTGGGAATAAAGATTCCTGCATTGTTTTTTTTGTTTTTTTTAAAACATATTCTATTGAATCTTCACAGAGAGGAAGGGAGAGAGATAGAGAGCCAGAAACATCGATGAGAGAGAAACATCGATCAGCTGCCTCCAGCACATCTCCCACTGGGGATGTGCCCGCAACCCAGGTACATGCCCTCGACCGGAATCGAACCCGGGACCCTTCAGTCTGCAGGCCGACGCTCCATCCACTGAGCCAAACCGGCCTCAGCTGCATTGTTCTTTTACGCTTGGCAGTTTTGGCCCTTGAATAGATATATTTAGATAATTTTAAATTAAAGATACTGTCAAAGAACTTTTTTCTTCTTGATAAGTACCTGAAATTATATCTGTCTTTTCTAAGCTCTACCTTAGGGTAGGCTGCTCATTGTGATTTAAACTTGGGACAACCATTCCTGCATTTGAGTCAAGTGTATTCAGTTGTCCTGGTCATCTTGGCTCAGTGGTTGAGCATCGACCTATGAATCCTGAGGTCATGGTTTGATTCCTGGTCAGGGCACATGCCCGGGTTGCAGGCTCATTCCCATCGTCATTGATGTTTCTATCTCTCTCCCTCTCCCTTCCTCTATGAGATCAATACAAATATATTAAAAAAAAAAATATTCAGTTGGTTTCCTCATGCAGGGGGCATTCAGCTATAACTTTGAGTATAAATACCTCTACTGCTTCACCTTAAAATGTTCTTTCTTTAGGAATTTTTTATGTGCACAAATTTGCTTCCTTTTCAGGGAGGAAAACAAATTTGTTGTGGCAAAGTCTTGATTCATAGATGTTTACATATGTTTATGTCTTAGTTTGCTGGCGAGGCCTTAACTTATATGAAAAAGGGACTTGTAACTTTACTGCAGGTTTGAAAGAAAGATTCTTAACCATAAGCCGATCTTCTGTTAAATATTTAATAGTGAGTACTGCTTGAGGTTTATTTACTGTATTTAATATAAGAAATTTCTTATAAGAGATTATAATATAACTAGCAAATATGGAATTTTCAAATAAGAGAAAAATCATTGAAACATTTGAAGTTGGAAGAAAACTTTTAGATTATCTAGACCAGTGCTTCTCAAATTTTAATGTATATATTAATTTATTGGGGGTCTTATTAAAACGCAGATTCTGATCATTAGGTCTAGGGTGAGGCCCAAGATATGCTCTTCCGAGACTTAGGCAGGCTCAGTTTATGCTGCTGTTCTATGGATGGCCCTTTGAGTAGCAAGGATAGAGACCCTTATTTGTAAAGGAAGATTCTGAAGCCGAGGGAAAATTAGAGTTGTCCAAATTTTCAAGAATGACCTGGCCGGTGTGGCTCAGTTGGTTGAGTGTCGTCCCATGCAGTAAGAGGTAGCAGGTTTGATGCCCTGTCAGGGCACATGTCCCGGTTTGATCCCAGTAGGGAGTGTGCAGGAGGCAGCTGATTGATGTTTCTCTCCCATTATTGATGTTTCTATCTCTTTCCCTCCCCCTTTTTCTCTCTAAAATCAATAAAAACATTAAAAAAAAAAAAGACTGTACCCTGAATCTTAGTTTGAAGACTAGTACTTATGCAAATGCGCTAATTGTTTCTGTATTTATGGATATTATGTTGAAATCTTCAGCTGCTATATTTTCTAAGGAAATGCTCAGTAAAGATGATTTACATTAAAATGCCACTCACTATATGAGGGAGTAGGAAATTATAAACCTATTCAAATGTCATTTGTTTTATATCCCTTTTATTTTGCAGTGGTATGTCCTTTTAAAAAGTTGAAAGTTATATTGCTGGCCATAATATAAATTGTAGGAATTAGCTGATGTATGAAATTACATGTTATCTTTTGGCCACATAAACAATTTGGTACTCAGTTAAGATGACAGCAAAATAATTAAGGGTATTTCTTTCAGTATTTACTTGTGAAAATTGCCTACTTAAAAAAATCTACTTTATCCTGGAACTTTAACTCCCTCACATAGGAATAGGAACTAAAATAAACATTTTCATTGGTTCTTTTCTCTTCATTTTTTGGAATGCTAATGATCATCTTTGAAGAAACCTGAGATATTTTGGTTTCTAATAAGATTTTTAGCAGTTTAAAACTCTTTTGGCTTCCCTTTCTTAAAGTGTTAAGCAGTGGCCCTGGCTGGTATGGCTCAGTTGGTTGAGTGCCTTCCCGTTCACTGAATGGTCACCAGTTTAATTCCCAGTCAGGGTACATGCCCAGGTTGTGGGCTCAGTCCCCGGTGTGTATAGGAGGCAATCGATCGCCTCCTGACTGGGAATCGAGCCGGCAACCTTCAAGTACAAGGGACTATGCTCAATCAATTGAGCCACCCTGATCAGGCAATTAAAAAAAAAAGTTAAGCAGTGATATACAGGTTATTAAGAAGTGTATCGAGGGCTTAGGTACTGTTCTGAAAGAGAGGTCTTGGAGACTCAATAGGAAACTATGTATATGAAGGACTTGAGCTTCATATTTCTACATAGCCTTGAAATAGCCTTATTTTCCTTTTAGGCTTCCTGAAAATCAAATAGAATAAATAGCATATTAATATGTATGTATCTAAGCTGATTGCAAGAGGTAATTTTTTTATATCAAGTTAGAATAGATTAATGATAAAGGAAGAATACCTTTCTCATAATTTAGTCAGAGTGGTTTTTCTCTGGATGGCATAGAAAAGCATAGAGGGCATGGTTATCCCCAGAGAGGCTTTTTTAGCAGTGAAGAGACATTAGTATATTGGATTAGTTTCTTGGGTTACAGTAGAAGATTAGTAGTAGTAGTAGTAGAAGTTAGGTATCACCACTGAAACTTTGTTTTAATTTCCATTTCAGCACTTGAATCTTAGAGGATTACTTAATTCAGTCAAGAGAAACAAGCTTTCAGTGTATGGGTGTTTAGGGTTTCTTGATAAGATAGACCTTAGATTCTTACATAAAGCTATGCACACAAGGACCATTGACTTATCTGACAGTGGAAATTTGCCAAATAAGTCCTTTTCTTGTGGGAAGTTGCAGTATTAGAGTGTATTGCATTCTGTCTGATACAGTCTACCAAATAGTGTACTGAACATTTAACAACATGAACCTCAGTAGCTCTGATGTGAAGAGATCCTAGTACATTATAGTGGGTATGGAATAAGTGGGCAATTTTAAGTTAAGCCTTTTTTTTAGTGCTCATTTTATCACCTTTTAGAGTGATTTGCAATTTTAAGACTGCTTTCATTCAGGCTTACTTTCATGTATATTTGTACCTCACTTATTTTTTAAATCATTTTTTATTTTTCAATTAACTTGATATACAGTATTAATTTCAGGTGTACAACTCAGTGATTAGACATTATATAACTTAATAAACGATTATTCTGATAAATCTCATATTCATCTGACACCATCCATAGTTTTCAGAATATTACTACCTTCCCCTTTTTCTTCATCTTATAAAACCTACAATTTTGCATCACAATAAAATATACTATACTAAGGTTTTTATCTCTCCTATTCTGTCAAAATCTTAACCCTGCTTTATGTTGTTCTTCTGTTTTGTATCTCCTTGGAAAGATTGTTTCTCTGGCATTCTTCATGCTGTGCCTCCAGCTTTAAGTTATGATTTGAATAGTATCCCTTTGGCTTGGGGTTGGGAAGACTTATTTAAAGTATTTTATAGATATGTTCTGTAATACACTTGAAAAGACACGCTTGTGGAAATAGATCATTGGGAAAACACTTAGGTAAAAACAACATTTTGAAGTTTATGAAGTGGAATTTACTGGAAAGTTAGAGGTGCTACTGTTTTCCTAGGTGCTCTACTTGTGACAGTTAAGTGTAGATTGAGCCCAGGGCTCAGCACATTAGAGACTTAAGGAAGAAATCATTTCTTCAATTTTTCCTCTGCAGTGGTGGTGACCGCGGTGGCTTCAAAAATTTTGGTGGTAAGTGCTGAGTATCCCAAAATGTTTCAGTGGAAATGCTATATAAATCTAAAAGCCACCAATATCTCACAGATGCAGTCTAAGCCCTTTCTTACTCGGTTGAGGCTGGTGTGTGTTGTGTGCTTTAAAAAAATAGATTCTCTATATATACATGTATATATATCAAAGAAAACATTAAAAAGCCAAAGTTGATCTCAGTCCAATGGATTTCTACACAGTGAATTTGCATGAAAGAGTCTGTGGTGACCAATGAATAAGACCTTCACTGGATTTTGAACTTACATTTTTTAAATAGAGGTAGCTGACATGGTGTTTTTAAATTACTAGGGTTTTCTAATCAGCCTTCACAACCAGAGCTTAATAAAAGTGATATTAGCATAATGCAAAAGTTGCAGGTATTGTTTGGGACATATTGACATTCATCTTGATTTCTTAAACTTTTAATAAAACATATATTTACTTTGTAAATCTGTGATGGTTGACTTGTTTCAAGGATTTTGGAAGTATTTACTTTTCTTATTTCTGTTTTATAATAGTTTCTAATGAGTTGTCTTAAATAGCTTTTCTTTTCTTTTTCTCTTCTTTTTCTTAGGTCACAGGGATTATGGACCCAGGCCAGATGCTGGTAAGGTTTATGGTAGTTTATAACTTTGCCTTTAAAAGAATGTTAATTTTCCACTTTATTCAAGGGAAAGGTGTGTTTGGAGGACTTAGTGCAGGAGAAAGATTTAATTTGATAGTGCTGCCAGAACTGGGAAGCTTTACTTCTAAAGACATACCAGGAAGAAAACTTTAGGGCGATTGATTGGGAAGTTTGCTGCAAAAAATTGTGTTTATGCTTACCCATGTTTTGCTTTTTCTTTTGTGAAAAAATATTTGATTTTGTACTGCTAAATGTTCCCCCATTCTTTTTTAAATCACTACAAATCAGATTTGAGAGAATTGGTATCATTAGAAGTAGAAAAGCTTTGCTTAGGAAACTATAACATTGGATTGGTAGTCTCCTTAGTGGGCCTAAGAAACCTGAATTCATACATGAGAGAATTGTCTTACTCTGGGCACGAGTCACTAATTTCATGTGGCTTTTTATTTTTAAATGAAATTCAAGGCTACATAGAGCCTTTTGAAAGTTATGATTTAAATTATATTTATTGATTGATTTTTAGAGAGAGAGAGAAACATTGATTTGTTCCACTTATTTATGCATTCATTTGTTGTTTCTGTATGTGCCCCGACCAGGGATTAAACCTATACCCTGGCGTATTGGGATGATGCTCTAACCAACTGAGCTACCTGGCCAGGGCTGAAAGTTATGATTTAGAGATTTAAAATCTTTGAGACAAAAAATTTTAATATATATTGAAATCAGAACTTTTGTTTTTATTAAGATGCCAAAGTATTCTATATGGATTGCAATTTCTGAATTATCCCTTGATGGACTGAATTTTTTACATCTTTCTTACTTTGTTGTACTAATCCAAAAGTGTGCGTGTAAGGTAAGGTGTGTGTCAAGGTGCCCCTACCCTCTGGTATATACAAAGCTTTTTGCAGTGGATGGGGAAACCACCAATTCAGCCTAGCTTGCTTGGAAGTCCAAAGTGCTAGATTTGGGGACTTTTCTACTAGAAATCCTTAAAAGTATTGATTAGCCATAACGAAATAAAGCTCTTCAAAGAAAGGAGTGCAAATTTACAAATTTTCTTCATCTCTTCATGAGCTTTAGTCCTGTATCTGAACCTAAAGAGTCAGATTTGTAAGATCTCTCTTAATTGGTGTTATGTATTTTACATAGTGTGGACGTGATCCACTTTACCTTAAGTTTAGTTGTAAAATTTGGCCAAATAATGATTGTGACCACTTTGCATGTTTTACATAAGATTTTTCTTACATTGATCCTTTTTCCTTTTGGTCATAGAAACAGTTGAATATTGGACAATAAATTATTGTTCTTGATTACTAAGTAGGATGTAGTAAACCCAAGGACTATGTAAAATTAACCATAATTTTTTTTCTCTTAGATTCAGAATCTGATAATTCAGATAACAACACAATCTTTGTGCAAGGACTTGGGGAGGGTGTGTCTACAGATCAAGTGGGGGAGTTCTTTAAACAGATAGGAATTATCAAGGTGAGTGAGAAGTATGGCTTATGTTAAAAATCTCACAGTCATTAACATATTCCGGTTAAGATACATAGATTACATAATAAGCCTATACTCTGGTAAGGCTTGGCTCTTTTTTTTAATAAAATTTTTATTTATTGATTTTAGAGAGAGAGGAAGAAAGAGAGGGAGAGAAACATTGCTTTGTTGTTCCATTTATTTATGATATTACTGGTTGATTCTTGTATGTGCTCCAACTAGCGATTGAACCTGAAACCTTGGTATATTGGACGACGCTCTAACCAGTTGAGCTACCCACCCAGGGCCAGGGCCAGGGCTAGCCTTGTCTCTTAAAATTCATTGATGTACGTGCTCACCGTTGTCTGCAGGCATTTGCTAAATACATGAACATTTTATTTCTTGCTTGTGTTTACCTTTCCAGAGCCTTTCACAGCTTTAGCTTTTAATAATAGGGCTCTAAAAATAGTCTCTGGCCCAGCAGGTGTGCCTGAGTGGTGAGCATCGACCCACCCATCAAGAGATCACTGGTGTGATTCCCTGTCAGAGCACGTGCCCAAGGTTGTGGGCTTGATCCCAGTAAGGAGCATTCAGGAGGCAGCAGATTGATGATGTTCCTCTCTCGTCATTGTTTCTCTCTCTCTATCCTCCCTCCCTTTCTCTCTAAAATCAATAAAAGCATATTTTTAAAAAGTAAAATAAAAAATAAAATAGAAAGTCTGACTAGCACCTAAAATTGTGAGAACCAAATGAGATTGTGAGAACATTTTATAGATTCTGAAATACAAATAAATGCAAACTCAAGTTGTTATAAAACATTTTTACTTTGATATTTCATGTCTGTGATATATAGTAGCCCAATATATAATGCTTTATTTTATAACTTTATTTTTTATTGTTTACTTGAGTTGTATGCTATTTGTTTCATGCAAATATTTTCATCTCTCAGCTAGAAAGCATCTGTTTGAGCAGTGTTAGTTAATTGTAGCATTTGCTTGAAATCAGTTGGTAATTTAGTTGTCTTGTTTTGCTGTCTGTGGGATAACTTATTATTTTTCCCTCTTTGGAAGTTAAAACTTCTGAAGGAATTAATTACACATGAAATATATAAAAAATTCACAATTCTGGTTAAGTGAAAATTCTCCTTTGTCTTCCACTCCCATCCTAGCTAAATCTGGTTTGTAATCTTAGTGGTAATGTATTGATTTGCTTAGTGAACATTATTCCTGGTCTTTCTAATTTGTTTTACAAGGTGTACATTTACATGAAGCAATAATTACTTTTTTGGGAGTGGGGGGTTAAAGAAATTGTACATAGATAAAACAGTATACTATGTATTATTTTTAGTTTAGTTTTCAATGTGTGTTAGAGTATTATCTTTTTTACAACTAGAGATAACTTCATTTTTATAAAAGATACATAGTATTTTGTGAGCTTTAGTCTTATATCTGAATCTAAAGAGTGAGGTGTATGAATTCCTTAAAAATAATAAATTATATGGTTTCTGATCACTTTTTCTTAAAATACTAACACCAACTTGTTTGTTCCTCAGACCAATAAGAAGACTGGAAAACCAATGATAAATCTGTATACAGACAAGGACACAGGGAAGCCAAAAGGGGAGGCGACAGTGTCATTTGATGACCCTCCTTCAGCTAAGGCAGCCATTGACTGGTTTGATGGTATACCTCATTCATATAATTTCAACATGCTGTTTGGATAAATGTTTCCTAGTGTTGAAGTCAAAATATGTTCTGGTAGACAGTGGTTACTTTCCTGTTTACTTTTTTTTTTTAATATATATATTTTTTTTCTAAAAATATATTTTATTGATTTTTTACAGAGAGAAAGGGAGAGGGGGATAGTTAGAACCATCAATGAAAGAGAAACATCGATCAGCTGCCTCCTGCACACCCCCTACTGGGGATGTGCCCGCAACCAAGGTACATGCCCTTGATCAGAATCGAACCTGGGACCCTTCAGTCCACAGGTCGACGCTCTATCCACTGAGCCAAACCGGTTAGGGCTTTTAATATATTTTTACTGATTTCAGAGAGGAAGGGAGAGGGAGAGAGAGAGATAGACACATTAGTGATGAGTGAATCATTGATCGGCTGCCTCCTGCACGCTCCCTACTGGGAATCAAGCCTGCAACCTGGGCATGTGCCATTGACCAGAATCGAACCTGGGATGCTTCAATCGACAGGCTGATGCTCTATCCACTGAGCCAAACAGGCCAGGGCTTTCTGTTTACTTTTATAGCTAATTTTATTGATTAAGAATACAGGCCAGATATTTTACATATCCTTAGAAATGAGCTTTCTCCTTGTTTTTGTCTAGATTCTATATTCTAGAAATATATCTATGATATATTTCCTTATATCATGCCTTAAGCTTTGAGGCCACCCTGTTATAGATGTAAAGGGTTGGCCTGGTTGACCTTATATTCTTTTAAAATTTAGATTAATTTTCTTTCAAATACAAGGTTAATTAATGCATACTTAGAAGGAATAATAAGACTTTTTCCCCACTGAAAATAAACTATGGAAAGTAGAAGAAAGCAACCATAGTTCTGATAACTGCTAATAATATTTCTTACTAACCAGTTTTTTAAAATGTATTTTAAAAATAGTTTATCATTATATTACACATGTAATTTTGTCTCATGTTCTTTTGCGGTGGGGGGGGGGGCATGTAAAGTTTTGTAATTGGAAAACAAATATACAAATTGGAATGGATTAGAGGCAAATTGTGCCATAAACAGATTTTAAGTGGCTAAACAAAGTTTAAAAAGCAAATAACAATGAAAGAAAATGTTTCTGACCCTAACCGGTTTGGCTCAGTGGATAGAGCGTTGGCCTGCGGACTGAAGGGTCCCAGGTTTGATTCCGGTCAAGGGCATGTACCTTGGTTGCAGGCACATCTCCGGTGGGGGGTGTGCAGGAGTCGGCTGATCGATGTTTCTCTCTCATCGATGTTTCTAACTCTCTATTCCTTTCCTTTCCTCTCTATAAAAAAAATCAATAAAATATATTTAAAAAAAGAAAATGTTTCTGGTACAGGATTAGCAGTGCAAAAAAATAGTGTCTGAGCACCTGGATAATACATACACCTGTTTTTCAGTTGTGCAACTTTTAGGTACATATTGTTGACTGTCCATAGTCCACACAGAGTTTTAACTCCATGCTTCAACAACGTGCTGACAGTTCCTAAAGAAAACTACTTTAAAAAAGGCATAACGCCCTGACCGGTTTGGCTCAGTGGATAGGGCATCGGCCTGCGGACTCAAGGGTCCCAGGTTCGATTCCTATCAAGGGCATGTACCTTGGTTGCGGGCATACCCAGTGGGGAGTGTGCAGGAGGCAGCTGATGGATGTTTCTCTGTCATCGATGTTTCTAACTCTCTATCCCTGTCCCTTCCTCTCTGTAAAAAATCAGTAAAATATATTTTTTTGAAAAAAAGGCATAATACCCTAGTTGGTTTGGCTCAGTGGATAGAGTGTTGGCCTGGGGACTGTACGGTCCTGGGTTCGACTCCAGTCAAGGGCACGTGCCTGGGTTGCAGGCCCGATCCTCCCCGCTCCTGACCCGTGCCCGCACCCCCCCCACCCCCCGCCCCATAGGGGGCATGTAGGAGGCAGCCAATCAATGATTCTCTCTCATCATTGATGTTTCTATGTCCCTCTCCCTCTCCCTTCCTCTCTGAAATCAATAAAAATACATTAAAAAAAAAAAAAGGCATAACCCAGATCCCGTCATTTGATCAACTCCATCTAAGTTTACATGTACAGAAGGACTTAGATATATCCAGAGTAAGCCCTTAATCAGTTTTCTCAAATAAGGTTTCAGGACAATGATAGTAAAATAAGGGAAGAAAACATGGAGGAATGAAGTCCTAATTACTATACATGCATATTTTTTTGATAGTAGGGGAAACCTTTTACAGATAAGTTACAAGAAAAGGCAAATAAATAGTTTTGTACAAGAAATTCAACACGTTCTGTATAATGCCTTCACTTTGCTGTCATCATTTGTACAAACTTCATAGTATACTTGACCATCACTATCAATTGCTGCTCCCCTGATCAATTCATCAACTTTTAACTGCTAACTTCTCTCCGAGGTTTGTCATCACATGACAAAGCTCTGCTGCACTAATACAGCCATTGTCATCTTTATTAAACACATGGAATTCTTCTCTAATCTTCACTGTCTGTGTCTTTCATTTTTCTTGCCATCATTGTCAGAAATTCTGGGAAGTCAGTTGTGCCATTACCATCAGCATCCACTTCATTAATCATGTCCTGTAACTCTGCTTTTGTGAGATTCTGCCCAAGAGGCCTCATTACAGTCCCCAGTTTCTTTGTTATAGTTCCATCACATTGTGTCAAATCGCGAAAAACTTCTTTGAGTTCTGCAATCTGCTCCTCAGTCAATTGGTTAGCCATGCTGCAAGCGCTCTGATCTCCAAGATGCCACCACACAACCACTCAGCGCGCCTGCTCTACTCAGACTCATGTTTTTTTCCCTTAACATTTAACATAGTCATTTCTTCATGTTGTTATAGATTCACCTGTGTTTTTCAAAACATAATTTATTTCAAGATGAGATTGTGATACCCTATGTCTTCTTACCTCCATATTCTTTATGTTTCTGTACTAATTCATCAGGCCCCTAACACCTTGCTCTTGAAGGCTGGGTCCATTTTACCTCACTTCTGCTTTTTTATAGTTTCTGTGAATCATAAAGCAATTTCTTTTGCTCAAGATATGTTTAAAAATTATTGTGCCATTTGCCCACGGGGTCTATGAGCCTCTTAAATTGTAACTCTATTGTTCATCTCTTACCAGGTCTTTTTACAGCTTTAAAAATACTGATCCTTGAATTGGTTCCTATGTCAAAGTGCATGTCATGCCATCTGGCATTGTGGAAAATTGAATAGGGCTTTGTTCAGGGAGCCACGGCTCTTGGATTTAAAGCCTTTTTATGAATCATTGGGCATCTTTTCTTTACATGTCAGTTCTCTTATTTAATATAAAGTAAAAATATTAATTTCTGTCTTTAAGGCCCAGGGCAGCAGAATTTGTGTATAGTGCATGTATGTAAGTAATCACATATGCACACATTATTTTTAAAGATATTACTTGCATATGGTAAAAAAAAGTCATAGTACCAAGAGTATATAGTAAAAAATGAGTTTCCTTTCTACCTTTGACTACCCCTTCCCCATCAGTGGTCTCTTGTCCCCTATTGAAACTGAAGTAAAACAGGCAGTGTATGTACAAGTATATGTGTACATATATAAGTACATGTGCACACTTATGCATGTGTGGGTACGCACACACACATTCCCTTTAAAAAACAAATAGCAAACTACACAATGCTCATGTAAAAATAGATTTTTATTTTATTTTTTTGCTTAGTAATAAATGACTCTCCCAGTGACAGATCTGCTCTATTCAATAGATATGTCACGTCTTAGCACTGTTACCTTGATTGTTTGGGAATACTAGTGTATTTGAATTGACTGTGAGGACATGTCACTTATTCCTCTGAAATTGAAATTACCCAAGATAGTTTACAGTTGTTGAGAAAGGCAGATGTAGAGTAGCATTTCTTCAAAACCATTTTCTTTCTTCTTAGGGAAAGAATTTCATGGCAACATCATTAAAGTGTCCTTTGCTACCAGAAGACCTGAATTTATGAGGGGAGGTGGAAGTGGAGGCGGGCGGCGAGGTAAGATACTTGTTGATTACTGGCCTGGATATTGTACAAAGGATTTGAATTTGAGTGTATTCCCTATTGTGAGAACTTGCTACACCTCTTTCTCTCCCTTGGTCTTTTTCCTTCTGTTTTAAGGTGAGAGTGGATACTAAATAGGAGATTAGGTAAATAAGATGTCATATAGTACCTAAGAGAATAGTGGGAGAAGGTTGTAAATATCCTTTTGGAAAGTTGTATAGCAGTTTGTTATTCACCCTGAAATCAGGAGGCAATCATTTAAATGACACTAATTAGGTACTAAATTTGACCAGTTTGTAAATCCCTGATACAGTTACTGCCAGCTTGTTGTTTCTGCTGGGTCTAATTCCTTAAATTTGGAATATGTCTTTTCACTTAACCTTTCTCACTGAGCTTCTCAAACTAAGGAGGGTATTATAGAAAAGTTTTTAAGTGCATTATTGACACTATAAAGCAGTGATGCGAACCTTTTGAGCTCGGCGTGTCAGCATTTTGAAAAACCCTAACTTAACTCTGGTGCCGTGTCACATACAGAAATTTTTTGATATTTGCAACCATAGTAAAACAAAGATTTATATTTTTGATATTTATTTTATATATTTAAATGCCATTTAACAAAGAAAAATCAACCAAAAAAATGAGTTCGCGTGTCACCTCTGACACACGTGTCATAGGTTCGCCATCACTGCTATAAAGTGTGCCTGGGGTCTTTCTCACGTTTCCTGCACTTACTACATAAAGCCCCAATTTAAAGAATCATGGAGGCCTACCACAAAGGTGTGGGGGCTGTCCAGTTCATGGTAGGCACTTGCTATTAGTTCTTTCATCTGGTGCTATTAGTTCTTTCATCTGGTGCTTTTTCTCTGCTTAGTTAAGGTCTGCTGCTGATTTTTCTCTCTTCCTCCCCTATATTCCTCAGGCCGTGGAGGATATAGAGGCCGTGGAGGCTTTCAGGGGAGAGGTGGAGACCCCAAAAGTGGGGACTGGGTTTGCCCTAATCCGTAAGTATTCCATTTACTTTGGTAGGAGTAGAAGTTGGGATTGAGGTTGGAAGCTGCAAGTGGGGGTTCTGAATCCATTGGAAGCTATTGAGCCTTTTATTTTCCTTCTTCCTCAGGTCATGTGGAAATATGAACTTTGCTCGAAGGAACTCCTGCAATCAGTGCAATGAGCCCAGACCAGAGGACTCTCGTCCCTCAGGAGGAGGTAGGTTAGCTCTTTGGGTCAGCCTTATTAGCATCTACATGGTGTTTGTCTTCTGACTAGCACTAAGGAAGCTTTACATTATTTTGCTGACCTCACTGGTTTTTATTTCTACCTTACAGATTTCCGGGGAAGAGGCTACGGTGGAGAGAGGGGCTATAGAGGTCGTGGGGGCAGAGGTGGAGACCGTGGTGGCTATGGTGGAGACAGAAGTGGGGGTAGCTATGGTGGAGACAGAAGTGGGGGTGGCTATGGAGGAGACAGAAGTGGGGGTGGCTATGGAGGAGATAGAAGTGGGGGTAGTTATGGTGGGGACAGAGGAGGTGGCTATGATCGAGGCGGCTATGGAGGAGACCGAGGCGGTTACGGAGGAGACCGAGGCGGCTACGGAGGAGATCGAGGCGGCTACGGTGGGGACCGAGGTGGCTACGGTGGGGACCGAGGCGGCTACGGTGGGGACCGTGGAGGCTACGGTGGGGACCGAGGAGGCTACGGTGGGGACCGAGGAGGCTACGGTGGGGACCGAGGAGGCTATGGTGGAGACCGAAGTGGGGGGGGCTACGGAGGAGACCGTGGTTGTGGCGGTGGCTATGGTGGAGACCGAAGTGGAGGCTATGGAGGAGATCGGAGTGGTGGCAGCTATGGAGGAGACCGAGGTGGCTATGGAGGCAAAATGGGAGGAAGGTGAGTATTAGAACATAGTTTTTAATCTCACTGCTCCTAGATTTTAAGGTTTTTTATTGTCCAGTGTTTTGGAACTTGAATTTCATTGTTTTGGAAGTTCTTACTGATAATTCCTTATATTTGTATGTGTATGTGTGTATTATTCATTCCCATAGCTAAAAGTAATTGAGATTGAGTGGTATTTTGAAACTGTGTAAATCAGGAATTCTTAATCTCAGTGGTGGGGGTGTGCTTTTTCAAATCATGTGTGTTATATATACCCTGCAGTTGTTTTTCTGGCATTTCTGGTAATATCTTTTCCAGATGAAAATCACTGATGGCACTGCTGGGTGTGTGTTGCATACTGCACAATGAATGGTGTAGAGGCAGAAAAAATGGAATGACCAGTGATATTAAATGACTTCAGTTATTATAAGCATTTGTATGCCAGAGGGAGTATAGGTAGTGAGATTTAGTATAGCATGTGGTTAAGAGCACAAATTTTAGAGACAGACTGCTTGGGTTCAAGTCTTGTCTCCACCACTTTCTAGTTATGTGACCTTAGGCAAGTTACTTAACCCTGTGGAGCATTAGTACTCTGATGTGTACAGTAGGGCTAATAATACTTTCTTCATGGATTTAGATTAACTGTTATAACAGTTGCTGGCCCATAGTAAGTACTGTGTAATTGTTTACTATTAGTAATTATCATCTATTGAATACTTCTTACTGTGTGGCAAATCCTATAAAAGTATCTGTATATACAGGGTGGGCAAAGGTAGATTTACAGTTGTGAAACAGTTTATTCTTTTTTAAAACAGATATGGTTTTTAAAATTTGTTTGTTTTAATCCTTACCAGAGGATATATTTCCACTGGCCTCCTGAAAATACCACAGTGGTTTGGAGTCCTTATTCTAAGTGGAAAATTTTAGTAAGTTGGTGATAGTAAAGGTGCTTTTAGGATCTTAAAGCTGATAAGATATTTATTACACACCCTCTAGGAGTAGAGAAATCAGGCATGGTGTTATCCTTGCAGAAATTGTCAAGCTGATACCAGTCATCAGCACCCTGAAGAGGTATTTGATGTGCCCCTTTGGTAGAAAATTAGAATTTAATCTGATTCTTTATTTTTCATTCCTAGAAACGACTATAGAAATGATCAGCGCAACCGACCATACTGATGACTGTTTTGAATGTTCCTTTGTCTCTGACATGATCCATAGTGAAATTGCCAGAGTTTTGCCTGCTGCTTTCCTGGTGGCCTCTTCTTGGGTAGTGAAATTAAGTGACATTTAGAATTTTATTTGGGTGGTAGGGCTGGGACAGTTTTTCTTTAGTAATGTCTGTTGGAATTTTCCCCTTTAGTTTCCAACTTTCCCCTTCCCAACCCTTGAAGCTAAGTGCGTTGTAAAATATTGCCAAAATGGAAAGTGTTTTATAATACTACAATAAAGGCTTCTTGTTTTGTGGATTTTTGTATATTAGTGCATTGTTCTGTCACACTCAGGATTCAGTTACAGCAGACTCTAACCCTGAAGAATGAGGAAATGGAGCCCATTTCATTAAATTAAAATGTTACTTTCAACAGTATTTATTGAGCTTCTACTCTGTTTAGAATAGCAGTTTCTAAAGAATGGCTGCACATCAGAATCACCTGAAGGAGTTGTCAAAATTAGATTACCTAAGCCTCATCTCAAGTGTGTTGAATCAGAACTTGGTGGGGGTGTGGGGAAGGAGTTAAGGAACCTTTGTGTCAAGCTCACCAGGTGATTTTGAGAGTTCCAGTTTAGAACCATTTATTTAGGGCAGTGTTCTAGATGCTGGGACTAGGGAGGTCTAAGGGCTAGGTAAGAAGAGTGAGGATTCAATAAGTTAGGGTTAAGATACCAGTGTACATGGTATGTTATTTGGTATTCATTAAAAACTATTTCTTAGCCAAAACCAGTTTGGCTCAGTGGATAGAGCGTCGGCCTGCGGACTGAAAGGTCCCAGGTTCGATTCCGGTCAAGGGCATGTACCTGGGTTGCGGGCATATCCCCAGTGGGAGATGTGCAGGAGGCAGCTGATCGATGTTTCTAACTCTCTATCTCTCTCCCTTCCTCTCTGTAAAAAATCAATAAAATGTATTTTTAAAAAACACAAAAAAACTATTTCTTCTACCCTTACCAAGAGCCTGGGACAGTCACTATACCAGATGCTGGCTATGTTGCTCAACAAGCAAACACAATATACAGATAAGTGCTCCAATAAGAATAAATGCAAGGTGCTTTTGAGGGCTGATTTGAAGTACACTTAACTCATGGGATCAGGAAGGTTTGGTGAGTCTTGAGGGAAGAGTAGGAATTGGCCAAGTAATGAGGCTGGGTTGAGGAAATGGTGTTCCCAGCAGAAAATTAATGACATCAACAAATACATTAGAGGAATAAAGAGATTGAGGAATAGACACTGGCTTGAGAAGGGTAAGTAGTGCATTGTGAGGGAGGAGTTAAAGATAGGCTTGCAAAAGATAAGACAGGAGAGGTAAACAAGCTTTACCATAAGGTCCTTGCATTTCAGTTTTCCCCCTGCCTCCAAATAGGGAGTCAAAAAATTTAACCAGGGGAGTGTCCTGACCTGAGTGGTATCTACTGAAAGACGATAATGGCTGAAAGAGAAGAAGCTGAATAGGAGACAATGGTAAGCCAGTGAGAAATACTGGTCTGAGCTCAGATATTGACTGGATGAGGAGGACATAACTAAATAGATTTGAGAAATAATGAGGGAAATTTGACAGGATTTGGCTAGATGTCAAAAATAGTTGGGAGGGAAGAGTTAGGTTACTGGCCTTGGCATGGGATAGGTATTTATTGAAATAGGAAACACTGAATAAGGAACAGATGTGGGAACAAGGTGGAAATGAATTGTTTTAGGTATGTTGAGTTTGGGGCACTCAAATTTACAAGTAGAGACATTCAGTAGACATCTGGATGTGTAAATCTGCAGCTCAGAAAACTACACTTCCCTGATTTTGTTCCATACTTGTTTTTGCTAACTTCTCCACTTGGTCTTTGCAGGTTGGAAGTTCCTTGGCATGTTCTGATCTCCTTTCTCTTTTATTTATACTCACTTTTATTCTGGGCAAACTCATTCAGGTTATTGCTTTAAATACCACCTAATACAGTGATGACTACAAAATTTATGTCTTCAGTCCTGACCTCTCCCCTTAACTCTGGTTTATACCCAGCTGCCTATTTGATCTCTACTAGGATGTACTAAATAAATTTGATTTTTCTTGGCAACTCCTCCAGGATTGAACAAAACTTTGGATCTCCCTCTCCAAGTCAGTTTCTCTCTTCCTAGTCATTTCCATCTCAGTAAATGCCCTCACTGTCCTCCTAGATCAGATCAGGTAAAAAAAACTTTAGAGCTTATACTTGCTTTCTCTTCATTCATTCTGTACCTGCAGTTCCTTTTAATTCTACCTCCAAAATATATCCCGAAACCATCTTGATAGTCTTGGTTACAATCTTATGAGCTACAGTCATCTCTTTTCCGGACAATTGCAGTTGCCCATTATTAGGTCCTCCCAGCCTTGCCTCTCTAAAATCAATTTTTCATATAGCAGCCAAGTGATAATGTAATGATGTAAATCAGACCATATGTCATGCCTCTTTAAAACCCTTTCAATGACTTTCTGTTGCAAGTAGACAACAAATTCCTTACCCTGGCTTGCAAAGCCCTATAGGATCTGGCCTGCCTACCTCTCCAACTTCATTATATGACATCCAGACTTACCTTGCTTTGAGCACATTGGTCATAATTCTTGATGGCATCAGATATGATTCTGCTTCAGTATTTTGTATATATTTTGTCTAGAATTCTCGTTCCTCAGATAGTCATATGGCTGACTCCTTTTCACTACAACTAGGGTCAAATCCTTCCTTTGAGGTCTTTCTTGGCTTTTATCTAAAAAACGGCCTCTCTCTCTGCCTGACTGGTGTGGCTCAGTGGTTGAGTGTCAACCTATGAAGTAGGAGGTAGGTCATGGTTTGATTCCCAGTCAGGGCACATGCCCAGGTTGAGGGCTTGATCCCCAGTGTGTGGCATGCAGGAGGCAGCCGATCTCTTCATTGGTGTTTCTATCCCTTTCTCCCTCTGAAATTAATAAAAACATCTTTATATAAAATACTGCCTCTCCTAGTTACTTTCACATCACCTCTTAAATCTTTTTTTTTAATTGATTTTTTTTACAGAGGAGAAAGGAGAGGGATAGAGAGAAACATCGATGGGAAAGATCGATCAGCTACCTCCTGCACGCCCCCCAGTGGGGATGTGCCCGCAACCAAGGTACATGCCCTTGACCGGAATCGAACCTGGGACCCTTCAGTTCGCAGGCGGACACTATCCATTGAGCCAAACTGGTTCGGCACCTCTTAAGCCTTTACAGTACTTCTCAGTATTTGAAATTATCTTTTTGTGGGTATAAACTTCTCTCTCGATTAGAATATGATCTCCAGGAGAGTAGGAAACCTTGTCTGTTGTCCACTGTTCTACCCAGTGCCTAGAACAGTTTGAGGCACAGGTTAGGGACTTCGTGAATATTGACCAAATGAATCTATTACAGATGTAGATTTGAGAGTCATTAAGATGAAAGTGGATAGGATTAAAATAAGGCTGTTTATAAGTGCCCATCAGTAGATGAATGGATTAGAAAACTGTGGTACATCTACACGATGGAATACTATGCTGCTCTAAAAAGGAAGGAACTCTTACCATTTGCAACGTCATGGATGGAACTGGAGAGCATTATGCTAAGTGAAATAAGCCAGTCAATGAATACCACATGATCTCACTCATTCATGGATAATAGAGACCATTATAAACTTTTGAACAATAATAGATACAGAGGCAGAGCTGCCTCAAACAGATTGTCAAACTGCAGCAGGAAGGCCGGGGAGGGTTGCGGGGCAGGAGGTAGGGGGGTAAGAGATCAACTAAAGGACTTGTATGCATGCATAGAAGCATAACCAGTGGACATAAGACATTGGGGGATAGGGGAGGCTAGGGGACTGTCTAGGGCGGGGGGATAAAATGGACACATATGTAATACCCTTTGTAATACTTTAAGCAATAAAAAAAAAAAATCTAATAAAAGACAAACATGCAAATTGATCACACCTCCACCCACCAGCCAATCAGAGCGACTATATGCAAATTAACCCAACCAAGATGGCGGCCGGCTACCACAGAGCTGGAGCGAGCAGGAGGCTTGGTTGCCCCAGTGATGGAGGAAGCCAAGCTTCCCGCCTGCCGCAGCCGGCTCTGAGCTCCACTGAAGGCAATAAAGTTTCAATTATAGAAGGTAAATAAATCCCAGAATAAAAGAAAAAAAGAAGAGAAAAAAAAAATAAGGCTGTTTATAATAGTGGTTCTTTATCCCAGCTGTATACTGAAATTAGCAAGTTTTTTAAAACAAGGATGTCCGAGCTTCACTGCAAAATGATGAAGTCTGTGATCAAGTAAATGGTCCCTGAATTTTCAGTTGATCTGATGCCAAAGTAAAGACTTTTTTTTTCTTTTCTTGAGGATGGACATAGTTTGTAGGGATTGGTGTGGCAGGTCCTACTGGCAAAGAGAAACTGAAGCCTTCAGTAAACAAGGAGGAACTAAAGTAGTTTGGGAGAATAAATAGGGCCTGTCAAAGAAATGGCCCCGAGGTGGGTAGAAAGTAGACATAAGAGAAGAGAGAGCAGAGTGTGTGGTTGGTCAAGCCTACAGTCTTGACTATTTCCACTGAGAGAATGGTGGGGGGTGGCGGGGAGGGTAAGTTAGTAAGAGGAAATGGTCCAAGACTTATGCTTAGAGGATTTTCTCCTATTTTCCCTTCAGCAGTCCTTCCCCCCGCCCCCACTAGGGGCAGAAGCTCAGCTCTCTAGCTTTGTTATTAAGTTCTGGTTATAGACAAGGGCTTGGTTTAGGGAGGCAGGCCGGTCATCCAGAATAGCTTTGGTTCTGTCCTCCATGTCCCTCCAACCCAGAGTGAGGAGACCTGTGTTTCAGTGAAGCCTCTGATGAAGGGAACAGCGTAGGTAGAAGTGACATTCATTTATTCATCGAGGGTAAGTATAGACATTTTCTCAGGGGAGCCTGAGAAGCATCCTCAGGAAGTGACCTATTTGGAGGTTTTGGCAAGGATCTGAAGCTGTTTCCTGATTTCTGGTGTCCAAGGCCCTGTGGCCTGTGACTTGTGTTTTCGTGGTTTAGGGAAACGGGGAGGGAAGGCAGGGGTGAGGTAACAGGGAGACCTTTTCTGGGCCCTCAACTTTTCCTGTTGGTCTGATGAGGCACTGGCCTTTGCAACAAACAAGGGGCTCAGCTGTGCAAGTCGAAAGTCTTGGATATTTAACTCTTCTAGGTTCTCATTCTCTTTTCTGAACCTTGTAGGCTCTTCCTTCTCCTTGGTCAGAGGTGACTCAGATACAAAGAAAACCT